TACTTGCATGTGCCAGATCTTTATGCTCCCTGCTTCACCCGTAATACTTGCATGTGCCAAGATCTTTATGCTCCCTGATTCAGCCGTAATACTCACAAGTGCCAAGATGTCCATGCTCCCTGCTTTAGCTAGACAAAGTAGAGGCCTGTGGGTCATGGCTGCGCAGATGTGATTAAGCATGGCTGCGCAGATGTGATTAAACATGGCTCTCCAGATGTAATCAAACATCCTGTTACTGTTTGCCAGCCTCGTCCTTGGCAAACAGGACGGCTCATTTGTCAATGGCTGCCATGTTCCAGGATCTTGAGGGAATGTGGATGTTCTCCTGACCTGCTCTCCTATCTGAGGTCCTGCTCTAGGGGAGCCTCCCTTGACTCTTGCATCGAGTGGAGTCACAGTATCTCCCACTCTAACCCTCTGTCTTTACCCTCTTGGCATGGTGGGTGCGGTTATGGCTCTGATGCCTCTCTGAAGGGGTGGGCAGGCTAATGGGGGGGGGGGGGGGGGGGGGGGGGGGGGGTATGGGTACAGATGAGGCACCCATGTGGCGTTGGGTGGTTCCCCACAGTAATGCCAGCTGTCACATTTCCTCAGGGAGTTTCCAGCCCACAGCTGAGGTCCCTGCAGAATTCCTGGGTAATTTCCATGTTCTGGTCAAAGCTCTGTCACACTCTTCCTCTGATATTCCATAACAATAATTGAGGTTCTTCTTGAACTAGATGTGATCTATGACTGGTGACCCGTGAGCTCATCAGCAGGTTGGTCAAGGATTTTTTGTTGCAATCCTTTTGTTTTCCAGTCTTTTAACATGTCAGGTATGATTCATCCTGACATGTCAGTGGTCCAATTCATCTTCCAGATATAGAGTATTTTGATGTGTCGCTGGTCCTTTCAGACTGTTTTGGAGCTTGCAGGCATTAGTATGACATATATTATGAGAGTATCTCCTGCGTACAGCCCGCTGCTGTCCATAGGCTGACTTCCAGGAAAGGGGGCTGACATTTCCTGTTGGTTTCATTCCCTTTGAGAGTTACACCATGGCATGGGCTCAGTCCTTCTGTTTCCTTATGGAGAAAGGTCACCTTCCAGTGAGCGTGCAGCCAGTGGGCGGCCACTGCATTTTGGTGCTCGCCCTGCAGATGGCACCGACTCTGTGTGATTAGAGCAGGGCTGCGGCCTGGAGTCACTCGCAATGAAAATGCAAGAAGGATGATGCAGAGCTCTCTCATGAACTCTCTGGTGGTGCTGAGGGCCCAGTGAAGCCCAGAATGCACCACAAATGCTTGCTTCTCTTCCCAGATGGACCCCGTTCGTGCCAGACCCGGTTCTGCTCCTCGGCGCTCTCCCGGGGGGGCTGGGCCCACATGGCTAATTGTCCTGTGCTTGCAGTGAACGTTGCACTATCTGCAGAGCCGTCGTCTGGATGTTTCATGTGGGAGATAAGGGCAGCGTCTGTGAATGAAAGAAGGCGGAGGTGGCTTGATGCCTTGGGGGGAGGCTATGTTAGGTGTCTCTGTCTGATGTTTATTATGTTAAACAGGCCAGAGGAAGCTGGGGGTGGGTGAGTCATCGTCGGGAGGAAGGTGGCTGTAATCCCGACGCCATTCTCAGAAGCTCAAGGCTTCCTCGCTCACTATAGGTCATCGCCTCTGCCACATTAATGCGCCGCAATCGCATCCATCGCGGATTCATCCTCAAAGGATCGATGCAGCACTCCGCTCCAGGCCTGGACCCGAGGCAGGGGATTAAGCCGGAGCCAATCAGACGCCGCCCGCTAAGGATGACCTCAGCGCTGCCTGTGTAATTAAACGCAGCAAATGACCTTTGGTGTCGCAACGGCAGGCTGTTTGGAGTTCCAACGCAAAAGGTTCTGCTCGCGCGTGAATTCAGGTGTAACATTTTCATTTCATCACCAAGCTGCAGCACTGACATTTTCATCTGTGCCGTAAATTATTCCAGCCAACAAGAACTGGTCCTGTGGTACAGCTGTTATGTTCATCAGAATGGCATTATTAGGACGGTTTGGTCACATGCAGCAGAGAACCTGATCCTCACAAAGCAAATCAGCTATTTTCATGCTAACATGTAGCATTAGCTTACATTTTACTAATTTGGTAGATGGTTTTACCGCAATCGATATACATCAGGCTCAGTCCCTGGAACAATTGGGGGTTAAGGGCCTCACTCAGGGGCCCAGAAGTGACATCAGTCTGCTGACTCTGAGATTTGAACCAGCAACCATCTGATCAGACTAACCCAGAGCCAGCACAAGTAACCTGTTTTCCCTTTTCAGCCGCCCCTGCAGCTCTGCACTATGGCTGTCCGCTCCCTGGCGCGACTAGACCCGCATTGGAATTTGTGCTCTTCTCGGCATGCTAGTCCGCTTCACAGATTGCTAGTCCGCTTCACAGATTGCTAGGTTTGCTTCTTTGGCACCACTATTTTCCTGACAGTCATTATTATATTCTTGAATTGTCTGTGTATGTCTGTATGTGACAAAGACACTGGATCCAGAACTATCCAGATGGTGCATGTCTCTGTGTTTCTGCGTGTCACTTTTGTGTCTGACGTCTGTGTTTGTGTCCTGTATGTAATACCAGCAGACGGCTGAGAACCAGCGAAGGACATCTGCCAACAGCATAAAAGCGTGACACATGACACATAAATGTGCGTAACCATGAATAAATCCAGTAATTAATCGTGTTTTTTACAGTGTACCACCAGCAAAATAATTTCTCTTACCTGCTGCAAATAAACAGCCAAAGAACAAATGAACAGTGAGAGGATAAGGGGAAGTGCCTGAATATGGGGAGAAGCAGGACGCGTGCAGCCTCTGTGATATCTGAGCGCACAATGAAAAAACATTCTTTCTAGAAACACTGCCATTGGCCGGGTTGAAGTAGCTTCCAGAGCCGAAATGTGAACATCGACGTCACCACAGCTCCAGTGAGGGGCATCAGTGCAAAGTGAAGTGACTGTGAATTATTAGAAATGGGAATTTTCCCTGTACTGAATATGCCTGTATGCACTTCATGCAAATTTCACTTTATGTACATCCACCTCGTTGCCGGACGTGCTGTGCCTCGTCTACCTGTGTGCCTTTTATAATCTTGTGCATTTGACCGGAAGGACAGATGACCATCAAGTTCTCATCGAAGACATTTTTACTCATTCACATTTTATCAGTTCTGACTGATGCCCTTTAACATTCCTCATGTGTGAAATTAGGAAAAGACATCAAAGGAGACGCTGCAGGTCTCCAGCAGACCATGTGCTTAAAAACCAAAGGAATTCTGGCAGAGAACATAGAATCATTTCATGATTTAATGTGCGGTTCACATGACATTTGAGGTTGAATGCAGCTGAAAACTAGGCAGAGATGAGCTTGTCAATCTGAATATAAAACTACAGGGTGATCCGCACTGAAATTTACCTTCGCATGTTTGACTGCGACACTTTGGGTGTCCTGTTGGCTTCAAGTTCCCTTCTTGCTTCTACAAACCTACCTGAACTACGCAGAACAGTGGAGGCAGATTTGCACGCAGATGGATACTGTTGACAGTCACGCCGGTTCTGCCGTTTCACCTGGACGGATATAAGTTTCTCTTCACATGCATCCAGACAGTTTGTCTCATTGGTGGGACAGGAGGGTAAAATTCACCCAGGGTCATGAGTGCTTGTTACCCAGCGGGGGGGGGGGGGGTACCTGACAAGCCAAAGAACTGCCGTACTTTTCTGTCAGCTCATTGACCTCTGCTTTTAGTGGCTGGATGACATGCGATGTTGTCACAGCACTAGTATAAAATGGAAAATTAGCATATGACTTAAATTCTACTGCTGACACAGTACACTGCCAAACACCTCTGGTTATGTGCATACCTCTCTATGCTATATAGATCTGTCATGATTCCTCGATTAAACGTGATTACTCAATTATTAAAAAGCATCAATTAGAATTAGAGTCGGAACAAGAACAGACCCCTGAGGAACCCCGGAATCCACAGCGAAGAGCGCAGAGGTTCTGCTTCCACTCCACTCACAGTAGTAGTGCACAGGCCGGCCATGAGGTCCAGCAACATCGGGGGGGATCCCAGCAAGTCTCAGGACGTCCCACAGGAAACTCGATCAACTGAGTCAAAGCTGCACAGAAATTGACAAATGCTGCCCCCTTTGTCTGCCGATATTCATGTTCGCTCTCGGTGAGAACCCTCACGGTCCATGGTGGACTTCTTAGTGATAACGAACCCTGTTAAGGATGACCCTAGCAAGGACCTCACCCAGCACTGCGAGAGCAGTGGTATCCCTCTTGTAATTGCCACAATCCAGGTGATCACCCTTCCCGTTCCAGATAGGGACCACAAGTCCCATTCTCCAGTAAGTTGACAGTAAATATTGCCTGCAATGTCAGGAGGACAGACTTACCACCAGCCTGGAGAAGTTCACCCCGGATACCACAGATCCCTGCGGCCTTCCCTGCCCCCAGCTGATTCACCACCTGAGCAATCTCAGTGAGACTGGGTGGACTGTGGACCCAGAGATGTCCAGCATCCAAGCCAGAGGATCAGCTTTAAACTGCTGCTCAAAGTAGCTGGCCCAGCGGGTCTCACCTGCAGTGTCATCCGTAGGGATGTGCCTAATTAGCACCTGGTCCTGGGTTGTTCCTGCGGATAATTATAACCTTTTTATTTTAATATATGTGCGGTTAGATACATGCGGTGGTATTTTTTCGTAACGATACATAAACAAAATGCAAAGAAAGGCCGACAAAATCAAAACAAAAACGTGCCTGCAGCAATGCGCATTAATGACACTGCGCCTCGCGGCTACGCGGATCATTATATAAAGGGGCAGGGAGGCAAAGCGGCGCGCGGCAGAGGCGCACGGAGCTGCGCAAACCCACAGCACTGAACAAAAAAAAAAGTTTAGTCATTAAACGCTTTTAATTAGCGGGATGTAATATTTATCACATTAATTTTAATTTGAAATAAATTTCAAATTAATTTTAAATCGGCCTACAGTCAACACATTTTAGAACTGAGCTAATAAATTAATGTTAAAACATTATAATCAATGCAGAACCGACATCATGCCGAAACGGTCTTCCTCGCAAGTTCATGTTTGTTTTTAGTCTAGTGATCTAGGTGAGACTAACTTTAATGAGACTTCAGTAAGGCTCCGTTAAGTTCTCAGTGATGGATCCCTTCGTGACATCCGTTAACGGGATTTCGCGCACTGAAGCCCCGCAGCCGCCGGACCCCTTCTCCGGTCCGCTCGGCTCCATCTCGCCCTGGAATTACACCCTCCTGGCCTGCCTGATGTTCACCGTGACATCCCTGTCTCTGACCGAGAACTTCACCGTCATGCTGGTCACCTTCAGGTTCAAGCAGCTGCGCCAGCCGCTAAATTACATTATCGTCAATCTGGCCGTGGCGGATTTCCTCGTCTCCCTCATCGGGGGGACCATCAGCTTCCTGACCAACGCCAGCGGCTACTTCTTCCTGGGCGGGTGGGCTTGCGTGCTGGAGGGCTTCGCTGTCACTTTTTTCGGTGAGTACGGCACTAACTGTACCGCTTCCGACTTCGTCAGGCTGGGCGTACGGCATAGACATATTCAGCGTGGTAAGTGAAACATGTCGTTTAGGCATACACATCGGATAAATATGATTGCATTACTTGTATAGTAAATATGTTTTAAATATGTTTTACAACAACCGGTGAACAGCCGATTAAAATCATTAAACGTAAAGAACAAATGACATAATCATGCGTATTTCATTGATATTTATACTGTAACCATTGCTGGTTGTCAGTGATGTATATTACACTTTAAAGCTATGTTTATATCTACTTTAAAAACAGAACTAATGTAAAGATGGACTCGACGGGCAGCGTGTTAAACGCGAGAGGCTATGGCAAGTCGTTTAGCTTTAATTCGTCACTAGAGGATACCACAGATTCCGTACTAACTAGTTAAATGTAAATTCCTGATATCAGAAATTCAGCTATAATTATAGTGCCAATTCTTGATATCAAAAATTCGATTTTAGCTAGTGAGATTCAAGACGTCTTTCTCATTCATTTCAATGGGAGATGGAATTTGAACTGTTTAAAATGACAATTTCTGATATCAAATTTCTGATAGCATGGGGGTGACTGTGCCCTGTCTGCCCCCAGTGTGCTTGGTACGCCCCAGCGTGGGGGTGACTGTGCCCTGTCTGCCCCCAGTGTGCTTGGTACGCCCCAGCATAGGGGTGACTGTGCCCTGTCTGCCCCCAGTGTGCTTGGTACGCCCCAGCGTGGGGGTGACTGTGCCCTTTCCCCTTTCTGCAGGCATTGTGGCGCTCTGGTCCTTGGCCGTCCTCGCCTTTGAACGTTACTTTGTTATCTGCCGTCCGCTGAAGGACGTATGCTTGGACAACAGGCATGCTGCCATGGGTCTGCTGTTCGTCTGGACCTTCTCCTTCATCTGGACCATACCCCCCCTGTTCGGCTGGAGCAGCTACACCGTCAGCAAAATTGGCACCACCTGCGAGCCTAATTGGTGAGGGGGCAGTATGCACACACGGCCATTGGCCCTGGCCTTTAATGCCAAAACACCAAAACTCAAAAGAGATGGAAAGTGATACACAAACAAAAGTGTTTTGATACTTTTAGCATTTTGAAGCAAATGGAGCTGTAAACAAAAAGGTCTTTGCATTCTTTGGATTTTGTCCATTTGCATTCTGGGTAAGTGTGGGTTGTGCCCTTTTCTTCCTGTCTCCAGGTATTCCACAGAGTATTCTGACCACACCTACATCATCACCTTCTTCACCACCTGCTTCATTCTGCCTGTGGGCGTCATCATCGGCTCATATGGCCGACTCATGCAGAAGCTGAGGAGGGTGAGCCTTCTCTCCATGTTCTCTTAGTGACACCATTTTTATAACCTGTCCTATCAAAAGTCACGGGACACTGCTGCGGTTGACTAGAACATTGGCGAATACTTAAATCTGCAGAGAGAAAAATCGGCAACAGTGTTGCAACATCCAGCACAGGCCTGAAAGGTGACAGATCTTTGGGATCATGTGGGACTGAAAACCAGAATGAGACCAAAACAGATATCTTCAGTTTACTGACTTAAGCGTATGGGGAGTCATCTTCTCCTGCGGTGCGAGGAGATCGGGCTGTGAAGGTTGCCGGGGGAGCAGCGGGGAGGCTGTAAAGTGCTAGTTGAAGCACCCCATCCATCGAGGTTCTAAGGGACCTCCTGGTAATCAATGCCTCCCAGAGGGTTCCCCAGCTATTTGGGAACCTGACCAACTGGGCAGAGACAGGAGGAGAGCGGCAAGCATAGCAGAACCTCTTTTGGAGGAGATGATTATTTCATTGATAAAGTCCTTCTGGTAGCAGAGTCAGGGCTCTTCCCTGGAGCTTCTACATGGACACAACACATAAGTGTATGGCATGTGTATGGCATGTGTATGGCATGTGTATGGCATGTGCGGCCTTGTTCCTCAGGTGTCAAACACACACGAGAGGCTAGGAAACGTGCGGAAGCCTGACCGTGAGGTGGCCCGCATGGTCATCGTCATGATCGCTGCCTTCATGGTGGGTTGGACTCCGTATGCTGCGTTCTCCATTGTTGTCACAGCATGTCCCAGCATCCACCTGGACCCACGCCTGGCTGCTGTTCCTGCCTTCTTCTCCAAGACCGCTACAGTCTACAACCCCATCATTTATGTCTTCATGAACAAGCAGGTAACCGTAAAGTTACACTGTGGCGTACTGATGGGCTGCTCACAAGAGTAACTGCAGCATAGAGAAAATACTGTAAACCTTACTGTAGAGTATGCTGTGAAGTACTGTAGGAATGCCCTACAGAGTATAGACTGTAGTATAGAGGACAGATTGCTGTAAACCGATCTGTAAAGTATGCTGTGTAGTACTGTAGGAATGCCCTAAAGAGTAACTGTAGCATAGAGGACAGAGTACTGTACTGTAAAGTATGCTGTGGAGTACTGTAGGAATGCCCTAAAGAGTATAGACTGCAGTATGGAGGACAGATTGCTGTAAACCGATCTGGAAAGTATGCTGTGTAGTACTGTAGGAATGCCCTAAAAAGTAACTGTAGCATAGAGGACAGAGTACTGTACTGTAAAGTATGCTGTGGAGTAGTGAGGGAGGATATTGCAGTTTAATGATCTGTGTAGCTGACTTAAGAGGTTCTGTTGCTATCTGACACATCGCTTTCTTTAGTTCAGAAAATGTCTGCTCCAGCTCTTCAAGGGCAACAGCGCTGCCCTCGAAACGCACTTGAACCCCACTTCAGATCAAGCAGCTGGCACGGCAGAAAGCAAACTGGGCGAAATGTCCACCATCACAGCGCGGATCCCGATATCTGGCAGCGGGGGGAGGAGGCCCGAGGAGGAGCGGAGCGAGGGCAGCAGCAGCACCTCCCAGTCGGGCCTCGACAGCAGAATATGTCCTGTGTAGGATGGAGGTCCCTCCCAGCAGCGACTTGAAGCCAGTCACCGAAGAAGACGCCCTATCAGACACGCACGCTCATTTGCTGTTCGGCTTTTCATTTCCATCGATAGCCATGTGCACAGCCATTTTTAGCAGCTCACTCCTGTCATCCTCATCATATGACCTGCCCAAGTTACACATGACCAGTGAAGTGAGGTAGTGTAGGGTTATTATTTTACATGTTCATTTGTTTTGTTTTGCCATCAGTCTGACTGTGGCGGGGAAGAAGCCATTGGAAAACCTTGTTCTGTGAGTGATGAAGCTGTCCGCTCTGCTGTGTCTCTGATTGTACGATTTACTTTACGCTTTACTTTGTGAGTAATGCTATGCTGAAACTCTCCCATTAAGTGTCCGTCTATCCCTGTCGATGACCACTCGACTTGAGACCACTGTTGCTCTTTGCTCATGCAATTTGTCTGTGTTTGGCACTTTCTGTCGAGTTTTTTGAAACCGTTCCCTGTGATAATAATCTGCAACCTGTAATTCCAATGCCAGCCACTAGGCCTTTTAGGAGCTCTGTCAGGTGCTGACTGTGATACTGCTTTTAAAGCTGACCTGTACTTTCACTTGGCAACCTAACATGAGTTTTGTAACTGTAAGTTTGTAACTGTGATTTACTTACTTTAAAGACCTGTATTCTTCTCGTCTTTCATTGTATAGTCTTGTCTGCCTGTATTGCATATCTGCGGCCTGGTGTTTATTTGTTGTATGTTTCAGAATGTTCCTTGACTTGTCTGATTTCTTCGGTGTGTCTGTCACTCTCGGCCCCCTAATGAATCGTCGTGCTAAATTCACAGCAGGGTGAAATTTCTTGGAAATAAAAATCACTTCTAAAAAGCAGATTAATATTTCCTGCATGCTTGCGTTGAATAAGTGGAAGAGTTTAACATCCTGATCAGCACAGGCTCTGAAGCACCATGACATAACTGGATAATCAGTTATTAAATACAGATTTCTCACAACCCATTTAACACAAGCTTAACATTTAAACAACTGTGGTATATGGCTCTAGGATAATTTGAGGAAATATTGGCAAAAACATCACTTTAAAGAGGGCATACTGAGTGATTAATTTTCGAGTAAACAGATTCATCAGAAAAGACAGATTCAGTAGTGAGATGGAGTGAGTGTACAAGGCAAAGAGGAGGCATCGCAGCTGGCTCAGTTAATCCTGACAGCATCTTTATCTTGGCACCTCGGTGAATCTGCAGGTGTCGCAGCTCGAAACAACAAACAGCATGAAATACTGTGGCTCAGTTAGGGAATAATCCCATTCAAAGCCTTGAATGTGTAGCCAGCACTGACGGTATTAATGAGCCCATGATCCTTGTCACACGGCCTTGGGCAGAGGGCATTCCTGCCAGGACGGGCTTTTCCCTCGCAGATGTTGTTGTGCTCTTTCTGATTCTCTATGTTGTCCCAAACATCATCACATTCCTCTGTGTCCAGCTTGGAAAATCTGTCCATAGCATGAAATGCAGAAGCGATGCGGGGCACCGTACCAACTGCGCATGAGAAGCTGCCGCATGGCCTGTGGGCTCGCATTTGTCAGTGCATTAATACTGCAGTAGGTCTGGCTCCTATACGCAATCGGCTGCATTGGCATGCATGGAGTCGCAGGCCAAGTCCTGTGCTCATTCAACACTGTCAGAGGTCAGTGGTTTGCTTTATCTTTAGCCAGCTTCGGCGAGGAGCAGCATCACGAAACATACCATATTTATGTCATATTTACAGATCAATATCTTATATCTATATGAAAGATTTGAATGTTTAGCACATTTAATATTGTGTCATTATACTGACTTCAGCTGAAGATCGTTGCTGGATCTTTACTAGGTTAGATGTGGCACCATTAAAAGAATGTTCTGGTAACGTAGTAGAACTTAGACTAAAAGGTCAGGAGTCCTGCCTTAAAAGCCTTGATGAGGCTATTCAACTACCTGTGAAACTGGGTAATGTGCTATATAACACAAACTGTCAGTATAGTAACCTGCCTGGTCAGGGTCACAGCAGTGAGTAATTTAGGAACGCCCCATCATTAGGGTCACAGCAGTGAGTCATTTAGGAACGCC